GGCAAGAAATTAAAAAAAAAAAAAAAAAAAAAAACCGCACCATTATTGGATCGGCAAGTAATTCAAACAGAATTGTAAACCGCCGTGAAAGTTCAATCTAATTCCAGAACCACAATTGTTTTTCCATCTGTGAAAAAATTAGCTGAGGTTTTTCAATTGCTTTTGCAAAAAGCATTTTACTTTTTAAGAAAATTGGAAAAATAAACAAAAAAAATTAAAAACACACGGCATAAACAAAAAAATCAGCGTCCAAGAATGCATTGTCATCCGTAGGTAACACGGGCGAAGAGAGAAATGATACATACTTAAAGTGTATGTTTGCATGTCGGGGACAGAGGCGGGGGGTGCAGTAGGATCTGAGAGGGGGTATGAGGATACTGAAGCGAGCAGTTTCGAAAGGGTGAAAGGTGACTGTTACAAGCTAGGACTAGCAACTTAATAAGATGATCCGTGCGGTTTTAAAAACTGTTCGACTACAAGAAATTTTGATAAAGAACTGCGAAAGGCTACCTTCTTATTTTGTACATTGCTAAAATTCTTAGAAAATCTCAGAATGTTGAAGGAATGCCACTCAAGAACTGTTAGGAAGGTCCTTGGCCTCTGTGAGATGACTATAAGATCTCCAATACTGAAAGGGGATCGACCACTAACACTACTATGGGGACGAGGGAGGGGAGTGGTTTGAGAGTGGGGAGGAGGGGTGGGCAATGCAGAGGCCTTATAAGAACGCCTTTTATTTTAAGATTTTGCATTTGAATATTCATTTTTATTACGTAATATTGACAAAAAAATAAAAAATCAATTATCCTGAGATTCTTCTCAGACTCGTTTTTTGTCTCTGTCATCCCCACTTCACTTTGATACCTCCCGGTATGTTATCGTCAAGGCGGAGTGTGCCAAATCGCATACTTGAACTTAATCTCTTTGTTTGTTCTGCCGCTTTTAAAGTTGAAGGATGTATGCATCGTTTACTATTTCCTTATTTACTTGAATTGGTACTAACACTTCTCAAAGTGAACGACTAAACTTTGAGATAACAAAGTTTACGCGAATCAAAACGAGCTCGTCTATAGTGTGGTGCGAAGGTGAGTCCCAGAGTTTTATTTTGTACTTCTAATTTTCACATCACGTTCTGAGGTGCAATGTCATTTAAAACATATCTTTCATTCAAGGCGCCTCTCATGATTGACAGTTCATGATCCATCGTATTTATTTTGCCTCAGATAAGTGTAGTGTTAGTCAATCTTTCTATCTGTTATTTTTATCCTCTCTTTCCGTTTGGAAAACTAAGGTTCTTGTTGAAGAAGGAAAAAACAGTATGTCATTGTAAAATTTGACACAAACTTAATCCTCTCTTATTAGATGATTAGGATAATTGACTCTTAGAGCTTGTCTCAATTGTCCTTAAAGAAAATATTTAAAAGAAAATATTTAACAAAATGCACTTTAATGATTGGAGTAGAATTGATCACTGACAATTTCTTCGGAAAAGAAACAAGCACAGCTGCTATTTACTTGATGCTATTTTCCTTGTCGATCAAGTTTTATTTAGTTTATTTTCGCGTTCATCTATCTGTGCTTTTTGATAGGGCGAAAATCAACTTCACTTTTGAAATTTCGTGTACTCTTTTCGCCGGATAAAATGGGCAACAGGATCAGGTCTCGCAGGAAAAATTGTTCTAAATTTGATTGAAGTGTCGGCTACTGTTTTTAACGAACTCTCTCTCTTCCATCGAAAACTTCTGGAATTGAATGAAGCTGGTTAACTGCAAGGTCTCGTAACATGTTGTGACTCAGTAACTCTTGCGGTCCTCTTCAATATGCCTGCCAATGTGCCTGAGTTTTTTCCTCTTTTCAGGAACTCTTCAAATGATACCAGTTAGCGCGACATAATTTGCCTACTGTTTATAAACAAAATTTAAGCTTGTTTTAACGAGCATGTATTTCATTTCGGTTACTTACTAGACTGTTCGTTTGGGAAATTTTATGTCAGTTAATGACATGAAGAAGGCACGACCTTTCAACTTCGGATTCCGGTTAATGGGCTGGAGTGCTTGCATGCAAAATTTTCCAATTTGGTTACAAAGATCTTGGCGACAAAAATCAAGATCTCGGTCAGTTATTTTGACGAATTTTATAGATTTTTTCCAAAGACGAAGTCCATCTTTGAGGTAATCCAGATTTCAAAGCCTGCAAAGAAGCAACCTCAAGGTGTGGAAAAGTCACACCCAAGCTGATGGCAAAAACGCGAGAACACAAAGAACGATTATTCACAGCCACGCAGATTTGTTTACTATCTATCAAAAATCCGACGGCTCTCCATTAGTTTTGTTGACAAATGTGACATAAGGACGAAACTACTGACAGAGCTCCTTTTAAATCTATTGTTCTAAGAAGATATAGTGGTATCATGAAAGCGTCGATCGAAATCAATCTCATTGTCAAAATTTTGATGTAGCCGTTCATCGCTACCTGTCTTAAGATTAATTGAAAGTGAAAAATAACCACTTGCGTTGGTCAATAAAGCGTAAGATTTCAACTTTTATTTTTCAACGTTTCCATGCCTTCATCTCGAGGGTTTTCTTTACGAATAACTTCTAGGGGAAAATACTTTTCTGGTTCGAGTTACTGTTTAAAAATTGTTCTATTGTCTGAGCGCGTGGAGGAAATGAAGATTCTATTGCCATGCGAGAACATTCCATGAAGTTTGACTGGCCATCATGACCTTTGAAAAACAGCTACGCACTCCGTTGTCTGCAAAAATCAAGGGCTTTTTGTGAAATGTCTGCCAAAGCGCATTGAGACAACCGCAGCCCCGAGTAACATTTAGCGAGCCCGTTCAATGATTTGAGGTCAAAAGCTAATGTGTGGTATTCTTTAACTAAAGCGTTATAGCAACGACTTACCGTATTGTATTCTTGGATATTTTGGAGGGCGCATTTGTAGTTATTAGTCGTGGTCACCACCACCCGTTTTATGACTTGCATGACTTTTCTTGGCAGACGTCATGTATCAGTAACTTCCGGTTGGAGCTAATTAATCACTTCCTTTAATCGACCTGTAATGCTTTTTTTTTCTCTCATTAGAGAAATTGGACAAAGCATGATTGCCCCCAAACTGTGTTGTTTTCATTTGTTTCACCCCGGCAAGCAAATTCATAAAGTAGACGAGGTTTTCTCTGCGTGAATTTTTTGTTCTTCGTAAGCAAGTGAGAGTCGTCCTCATTTCACACCTTTTGAACACTTCTGTAACTTTTGGTAGTTGACGAGATAACTGTTCTAAATCTACGACTGACGCCAACAACTCTTGGCCATATGGTTTATCGCTATTCGCTGATAAATCTATAATATAAACAGAAGATTTTCAGGATGAGAGAGCTACAGCGAAACTAAGATATTGTTATGACTACAGGCATTTTGTCCTGGCAGGGAGGAAAGATTGTTATAAGAATGTATGGGAGAAGTTAGGAAATAAGTTATAAAAACCGGTTGGCCGGGTTGGGTCTGGTCATAACAAGCAAACATATAAAAACAAACCTCATAGCATGAATTACATTATATTTTCTCAGCTTCATTAAGGTGAAACATCGTTGAAGACAAAAAAAACAGACTGGTGATGTTTTTATTTCTTTGTGTTATTTAATAGTTACGCTAAATTTATGCCGGGTTTGGAGGTGCTGAAAGCGAAAAGATCCTCGTCGAGAAATCGTGATTTGAAAAGAAACACGACGGTGGATTATTCCGCTTGTTGACGATGTAGCTAAGTTTTGATTGCCTTCTTTGGCTCAAGGAAAACCATTTTAATTCGACGTGAAAATAATCATGGCGTGATGTTTTGTCCGTCTCTATCGTGACCAGCATGAGAGGTCCTCCCAAAGAACATCTGGAGAGTATTCAAAACCTTTCATCGCCCGATAATTATCAAGACATGTTCTCAAAAGGAATTGAAAACGTTTCCATTCAAGCGTCTCCGGTGCTCAAGTTACTACTCCAAAAGCGGTGCACTCCAGAAAGAAACAAAAATCTGATTACCGACTAAACGGAGAGTTGTTCTTGTGGGCCGCAAGATATACCCGCTTTTAAATGGTTTACGGTTTTGAAGCGATTTCTTCAATGAGGATTAGCGAAGGATTTCTCTTGAAAACGTTAAGCAGATTTATACCTCACAGCTGCAGTGGTTTGTTGTAGTTTATCGAGGGTACAAATCGTGTAGCTGCTCAGGTAAATGTGTTATCGAGGATAATATTTCTGTTCGAAGTCTTTTAATGCAATATTTTGAAGCTTACTTATACAACCTTTCTCGTTGTTTTCAGATTTCCGACATGCGTGCTTCGGGAGTTCCTCGCCACTCACGGACGTCCACGAAGCCGAACGAAATTCCTCGAGAACTTGGCGTTTGGTGTGAAAAATGCAACAACCGGCTTGTAGAACTGAAGAGGCAAGTTATGAGAATGATTTTGCCGGAAATCCAAGGCGTTTTACAGAAGGATCGAAAGATCAAAAATAATGCGGTAAGATGAGAAACTTTACTTATTGACTTGTTCAGAAACCATTGCTCAGCGGGTTGGAATCTAAAATCGACTTTAGTAATAAATAGTAAGTTGTAAGATGGCCTGAAATTATCATAACTGATCTGTCCGCAAATTATTTTTTCTTTTATTCACACGTTAACTTTTCTGATGAAGTGACAAAAATGTACGTATATGTGAAGAATTGTTAATCATTTCACTACCTCCGACGATTCTCTCTAAGTGAAAAGTAATTTAAAGAACGCGCAGAATTTTACCAAACCTGAATTAACGCTTCTGGAGACAGGAAACCTCAAATATGAGAACTTCATTTGCTGGCTCTATAAACTGTCTTTCGCACTTCATCACTGACACGATTCAACAATTTATTGTGCGAAAACTTCATTCTTTCAATGTAAGGGTCCTGCAAAAGTTTGAAAGCACTACACTTGAAAATTCACGTCAGGAGCGAAATCGAACTATTTTTACCAGCTAGAAGTGTTACATAATTTGTCAAGTGATTGAGTGCCATACATCGATTATTATGAATAATACTAATAACAATCCTTGTTAAGTACCAGAGCAAACGACCTTTTCATTCCGTAGAAATGCCAATTGAAGGACCTGAGAAAAATTCCCACACAGAGAGAATTAAAATTCTTGCTCCGATGGCGATACTCTTCTTTAAAATATTTGCACTTATGTGATCATTTCTTCAAAACAAAAATTTTGGACACGTTACTGCAGTGTTAAAACTGGTTTCGCAAACTTAAATTAACTTGAAGTAAGATTTTTATAGGCGAAATTTGAAAATTGCGGACTAATTTGACATGTTGATTAGATAATATGATCCCTATCATGATGCGAGGATCTTTCATAAGAATCTCCGACTAGGAATTTGAACTTTTGCAAATCTCCGAGAGGTTTGCAACTTGAGAGTAAAGATTTATGGTCTTATCATGTGCACAGCATCTTTCAGAGATTTTGAAGACCATATTTGTTGGAGTAACGAAATAACGTTTGTACAAAATTACGAAACGAGAAAGCACGCAGTTCTGAAATAAATGCAGAAAGAAAAATTTTCCGATGTTCAAACAGCATGAATCTGCGTATAAGTATATGTTTGCAAATATTATCTAAACGGGTTTAACCAGGTTCCCCTTTTTCAAAAGAACGCTCTCTTGCCGTGCCGTTGTGTTAAATATTTCCGCAATGAAGGTTTCGTAAACATACAAAGAACTTAAACATGTTTCAAAGCAAAGAACAGGGTGGACATTTTCAGCCTGGCTCAAAACTTAGAGGGATGTTGAAAAAACAGTTTTATAAACGTCGGATTAGAGTAGAAGATTTTCGCAAACGAGACGATGAAATTGAAATTCCAGCTGATCTCACTGAAAATAAAGCCAATCGATATATTTGTTTATAGTTCTTAGGACAATTATTGCTTTCAGAGGTTATTACCGCTTTAAACACTAACATCAATCTGCATATTCTCCATACTGTTCGCTTTACATTTCCTTACGTGCTGACGAGGAGAATTTGTTTTATCAATCAAGAGCTTCTTTACTTTACTTGATGATTATTTCCATTATTCTCGATCGTGATCTTGATTCAGGGGTGATACTGTGAGGAAAAATTAGATGCTAGTCACTCTTAGCAATTTAAAAAGGGTCAAAAATGATTTTGTATGGAAACGCTTTTTGAGTGAGGAATAAGCCATCTTACCCGCTTCTATTCCACCCAGAAAATGATACAATTCCTGTGTGTCAATTGGATATAAATCATTCTTTGACTGGTACTGCCAGCATTGTCTGTGTAAGGCCAGTAGATCTTACTATCGGGTCTTTACTCGCTGGAGAAATTAAACTACTGTAAAAGGTAGAGTTTCTTAAGCCAACGTTTTGAGCGTAAGCCCTTCAAAAGTCAGAACCAGATGATAATTTGAGAACATAAAAGATGAACGATAGACCGAGTAAATTCATCGTGTCTTTAAAGTTGACAACAATTGAACAGAAAACCAAGATGTTAAGTGACAGTTATATTTCGGTATAAACTATACCATCATCAGACTGAAAATACATACAAAATTAGTAAGCCCTTCCTCATTCGCTCTTGTGATACCCCCATCGAGGCAGCGCCATAGATTCTTTTAAACCTTACTCTTGTCTTTCATGAAGTAGTTTAATGCTGTGGAAAGCGGTTCTATATGCCGGAAAATTATGTGTTTAAAACCTTAACGTGCTACTTAGCTGGGTGCTGCTAAACATATATTTCATTTATTATTGTATGATTTGGGCAAAACAAGTTAAGCTTTTAACAAAGTCTGTTAACATAAACTCCTAGTTTACCTTTCAAATGGAAGCGTCCTAGCATTACTTTTATATGGTACTGTTTGCTTTGCTACACAAGATGATGAAAACTCTTCAGCGAAAATCATTTCACGCGGTACTGTTTCGCACGATGTAAAACACAGTTGTAACTTTTGTTAAGTAAAAACTTAGTGTTGACGACCTACGAAGTACCACGTCATGTTAAGACGAAGAGTGACAAAGAGAGAACAGAGTGGAGACAGTGGAAATAGTGAAGACTGTACATATTTAAAAGCCATTTATAGTTACAAGGACATTTCGCGGTGTCGTTTATCCATGCGGCACGGATCGCTTTTAACTGCAGACAGAGTTGCTTGCGAAAACCACATGTGCGGTTTTATAAATCAAATCAAAAGATTGCGCCATACGATCGCATTGTTTTGTTACTCCAGCCACTGATTTATCATTTCGCCCGAGTTGGCGCTCAGCAAATCGCTTCTCCGCGAAAACCGCAAAGTGTGTCAAGGTGTTCAGGTGCTATTCAAATCGCCAAGCAGTAAACTGTCTCCAAGCACGTTCTTGCGGTACAATTGGTGATAATGAAAAAGGTACATTTGTGCTTCAGATAATTTAAAAAATGGAAGCTTAAATTACAACCATCTTCTCCTACAACGTGCCATTTAGCACGCTTTTATAAAACGTCGGCCAATATATTATTGTTTATGGGGCACAGTCTTTCATCACGGTGATTTCCATCATGGGAATGATCTAGGTAGTTGTGAACATCGTGCAATCTATTTAATTCTTTTCTCTCTTTTTTTTTTCTTTGTACAATTTTGTTCGAAAACCCTTGATTACCAGAAGGCGATTAGTTTGAATACATATTTCTTCTTGCAAATGATGCAGCTTTTTTGTGTTTTACTCGTTAAAATAATTCATTGAGTACCATTTGTTGAAAGCCACGTCGCTCCCATAGGAAACGTTTGGAGCCACAGCACAAAATTTCCCTTTGTTTTCCGATGTCGGCTAGGCTTGCCTTTGTCAGAAAGGAAATCTCTCCTATTACTGAGTTTGTGATTTTGATCATTATATGTTCTCTCGACAATAGACAGAAGAGCCTTGAATTTGAGTTGACATGACTAATGTATTTTGCAGACAAAGTGAATCAACAGTGTTGTCTGTCTGCTTGCCTGTTTGTTATGTTTTTACCCCCGGCTAAAACACGTCCAATATTTCTTTCTCGATTGAATACAATATTTGTTAAACAGATATTAACTAAAGCACCTTTTTCCAGCTATTTGCGGGAACGTTTATAGTCATATTCTGCAAATTACATTTGCATTTTTTTCTTTTTTTAGACTAAGTTTATGATATTGCTTCAACGTTCAAAACTAAAAATTCTGGCAAAACCCTCGAATGCCTTTGTTTTCCTTGCTAATGGAAACCATAACCATTGTATGTACTCCGATTGTGAATGACCTGAAGAAACGAAATAATTGCAGGAAATTACGGTAAAGTAATTTATGGTATTATTCTTCGGGATTAAGAAGCTTACCGGCAAAGAGAAATTTGTATTACACCGTAATTTACCATTACTTTCAACCTCAGAAAATGTTGACCGATTTTTCGCCAGGTTCCGGTTAAAGTTGTAAGGATCATTAAAACCTGTCAGAGTTTTCAAATAAGTTTCAAGCAGTCGAAATTAAATTTTAAAAGACTGAAGCGCTTTTCTTTGAAGAAAATCGACCATTTCAGTTCAAAGATACCGAACCCGGAAAGCACGAGTGTGTTCGGGTTTCCTATTGCATGTGACACGCGTGTTTTGAAGAGCGAATTTGAAAATGGCATCAAGTTTACTTTTCGCTTTTGTACTCAGGGATGATCAAATGCCGAGATAGCTAATGAATCTAACACATCTCGAAAACAAATCAGATTTTCTTAGATACTCACAACCCAAAAATAATGATCTTTTGTCTAAGCCGAGCATTGAAATTTTGTGACGCGTGTAAAAAAAAAAACACAAGGTTTTTGTATAGAATTAGTAAGTTTATATTCTCAAACGGACGGAACATTTTTATCACTTTGCCCAAGTCGCTAATGGATTTACAATGTATTTCGCCACCCTTCAAGTAGGCGATAACTATCTGCTTAGCTTAAAATTCCTCTTGAATTTTGTTTAGATAGACGAGTGGTAGTTTGACTTCTTAAAACAGTTTTAATGTGTATTTAAAATGAATCAAATCGTCTGTCTTCGTGGTGTAGTTATGGAAAATGTGATCATTTCGAGGCTGCTAATTTTGGGTTTTCAACGAATGAAAATTGAATAATGAAAACAGAAGTTTCTTTTGTTTAAATCTTTGCATTAAAAGCTTTAAGCGGATTTCACTGATTATCTGCCAGCGAGAATGTTTTAATACCTCTTTTAATGTCCTTATCTCATCGAAAAACATTAACTAATACAGGCGGGTTTGGCTTATTCGAAGGTCGCAAAACACTCTTTGTTCTCCATAATATGTTTTGGTTTCGAATAAAATATTTTCCTTCACAAACCGTCGAATTTGAAAGAGCTATATTAAGTTTATCACAAACAACATTGTTGATAGAGTCTTCTGGCGTGAAACCTTGAGTGACGTGCCCAATGCCCGCATGTAAATTGCTTCGTGATTATTGGTGAACAGCCGATGAACAATGCGA